CATTGAACTGCATTTCATGTTCATACAAGACTACTAGACAATTCAAATAGAAACTAAGAACAGAGCTCCCAATGTTTTATTTACAGCAGAACTCTTTCCTGTGAACATTTGTGATTTAAAACTGCAGCCAAGGGAAGACAAACCAACCATCCTCTGACTGAACCCATACAGAAGCTGCCATAGTATATTCAGTAAACCGCTTATTGCTGCGTCAAGAGAAAAAGAAAAATGGTTGTTCCTCCATATCCAGCCCGATGTTGATATAGTCCATGCATTTCTCAAACTGGCTTAAGGTCCATCTTCTTGTGCTAAAAAAGGATTTCCATTGATAAGGAGACAAGATAAATAAGAAAATATGCATGCATATACAAATGCGTAGATGTGCAGAAAACTTACTGCTCAAAATAAAGCCTTGAAGCAAACTTTGGGCTCTCTCAGCCTGCTCAGGAGTGCCTGATATTTGAATTGTCTTTTGTGTTACCTCATTTTTGTCTTCCACTAGAGTCACATTGGCCCCAGACAACTGCTTCCGTAAAATAGGTTAAAAGAAGAATATCACATAGCATTAAAAAAAGTTGGCTGCAGAAGTATGCTCACCTCACTAATCTGTGCAAGTTTGTTTTTCGATTTGGTAATGAGCTTCGGAACAGCATGCTCTGGTATGACAACTTCAAGTGTACTCCTAGTTACAAGGGGCACAGGAATTCTAGCAAAAAAATGAAAAAATAAAGACCATTGAGTAGAAGACCTTAGAACAACTAACATAAGTTGTATTTGTTTTAATTCCACAAAATAAAGCAGAAAATTTTACCTATTCACTGTACTTGGCGTATCTTCACGGCGCTCACTTTCACCATGCTTAACTGTTTCAGGTTCTCCAATTTCCTACAAAATTAGAATCAAATTCTTAAACTAGGAAAAGGACTGAGCCAAAATGCTGCACCATCTACAAATAGTATAATCACAATGACCAGGGTGGTTACTGAATCAGTTATACTTCAACATTTCTTTATTAGAAACACCAAGGAAATACATACATATATATCTAGAGAAATAGAGAGAGAGAGATTAGTATTTTGCTTAATTCATTCAGCATTTCTATCAGTAAAAACAAGAATCCAAGTTGTACTTCTAGCCACCAGTATATTCCAATTCCAGAGAATAGAAGTAGACAGGGCAACGGAAAGCAATGGCAGCATCCACTATCTTACTAGAGAAAAATGAAATTAGCAACATAGATGCCAACAAGAACCACCTTTATTGGATGTACTGTCATGGTAAGAGGATCAACACCGGGGTGACCTTCACGAGCTGAATTTATACTATTTGATGATGCTATTTCCACTCCTAGAGAACCACCCGAAGGGCCAGGTGCAGATGGCATACTATCCTTCTGGAAGAACTCCTTATAGAAGTAACTCCGTAACCTTGACGTCAGCTCAACAAGTGCATCTCTAGCTGCTTTTATCTCACCCACAATCTGAACAGCATAATAAACGTAATTCAGAAATGAGAATAAGGGGGGAATGCATACTATTTGTCAGGCTCTTTATACAAGCTAGACCCAGCCAGATTCTGAACCATTTCCGTGTCTTGTATGGGAAATATTTCCAAGCAGCAATTTTTTTTTTGAAATAAAGTATAGAAAAGTATTATTCACAATGGTACCAACGGGATACCACCCGTATACATGATATTTACAGGTTAATTAAGTGATTAATGACATTTCCAATATTTCCAAGCAGCAACAACAAAGGAAGATGACGGCGTGTCATATGTTTCATCACAATTGCTATTAGACTAAAATTTAACAGTCAAAACAAAAATGCAAGGGAAACTATCCTCTAATTATGCACAAAACATGATGCTCTAATCTTAGAATCTATGTTAATTCTTGAATCCACCAAAGGAGAGCATCAATTTGAAGCACCAAGCATTTATTTCAAAAACAATTTGAAGTATCCAGTTAACTATCCATGTCTCACAGACAATCATTCAGCTATATTAAGTGACAAACCTGTACAATCTCATCAATCCCAGATACACATGCAGGAAGTTCTTCCCTTGGCAAGATCTGTATGTTTGCGCCGGTTAATCTTCTCATTTCAGATAATGATCCATCTCTTCCCTCCAGACACGCAATCTCACTGGAAGGGACAAGCAATCTAGTGGTTACGATGTTATCTTTATCTTGAAAGAGATCAACAATTCGAGTTTGGATATGTAGGAGAGCTTCTTGAGCTGGAAACAGTTCATCGTCAGGAGCCTAAACACAGAAATAAGGTAGACATTTATTAGAGATATAGAACTTTACTCAATTTTACCTAAAAAATTTCTTGTCCAACTATAGTATGTTCAAATTTACTTCAGAAATAGTTAGAAGTAACCCATTAGCTAGAAAGGGATTAATCTTAAAAATCTCATCTCATGGCTAAAATAGTTTATTTAGTACAGAAGAACAGCTACATGGGAAGAATTAAAAACAGCATACCAACTATACCACATAGAAATATAGAAGCCGCAAATACCTCTTCAGAAGAAATTACGATTATCTTTTCATCTAACCCAGCCACTGGATCAGCAACCTTGACATCAACACCAATTTCATTTTGAAGCAGATCTAACATACCTTGTGACTCGCCAACAACACTATCAACCTTTGTCATTTGGGCAAAGTATACGAAACACAAGGTCCTCACCATAAGGGGGCTGAACATTATCAACAATGGGACCGGTCCCAGCTTCAATTATATGACCTGAATGACGTGAAGCATAGCTATTGCTTCTATAATTGTTTCCAGAAAACCGTGACCCAAAGGTTGCTCCTTCAACAGATGTTCTACGTGATGAATTGTTTACATGAGGAATATAATCATCGTCTGGAGGGAAAAACCGCTCTGGTGAATGTACTTGCCCATGGAAATGACTGCGATCACGATGCTGACTCTCCTTCAACCGTGATGAAATAATTGCTATAGCATTTTTCACAGCATTCACGTCACCGACAATCTAACAGGGCAGACCACACCATCAAAAACTAAAGCAATTTTAATTCCAATAGCAAGGAAAAGAAAGCAAAAAGAACGAACCTGATGCTCTATTCTTAAAGCATTTCACTGTATCAGCTAAATTTTCACATGTTCATATCAGGCATCACTATTTCTAGATATCAGTAGGGAGAACATATCCGTACAATGGAGCATACACCTTTTTTTTCATAAAAGAAGAATTTACCAAGACCAAGAGAAGAAAGTACAAGATAGGAGAATGAGACATCCTCGCAAAAGAATGAAATACAAAAACAAGAAACCCATCAATAGCAATGGAAGGAGAACAGCCAACAAAAATTCTAACTGTCGTGAATGAGGGGTACATTATTCAAAAAAGAAAAATCTGGACAACCCACTTTTGGGAATGCAGACAACTCATAAATAGACAATACATCCAAATTTGCTTAGCACGTGATTTCAACAAAAAGAAACACACAACACAAAGTATAGATAATCTCCTTCCAGATGTTTTTGAAGCATCTTTGCAAGTGAATGATATTCAACAAAATTTGGTAAACTCTAGGAAGGAACCTGGAAAGAACTAACCTCTAAGCAAGTCAATAAATTGGGAAAAGATAATGTTGCATAGCACGTGACAGGTCTAACTTTTCCAATGTTCATTCTAAAGCTTTTAAGGAAAATCAAATGTAACAATAGGTAGGTGAGAGCAAGCATTGAGCAAGAAGCACTAATGATGGCAACTAACAGTTTTACATCATCAGATCTACATTTGTTGAAACCAAAGTCAGATATATATATATATATATATATATATATATATACACGCATGCACACATACACAAGACAGAAAATAGGTACACTCCAAAGACACACAAGATGATCATAGAAATAGCAATTTGCACCGTACAAAAGATCCAGGCAGTTAATGGAGGCAAAAGAGTATGACCAAAATGAAGTTAGAACTGAGAAATGCTAAAATCGATGGTCAAGATATATTTTCAGAGAAACAAAAGAAAAATAAAATTCATGCTCATAATATTGTAGTCAGTATCGCAATCCTTGATTTTTGATACTGAAGATAATAAATGTTCAAGTAAATGACAAATTAATAACAAATTTTTGATGGGATGAGAATGTTTAGGTCCATAATATAACAATCTTCAGGAAGACAATAAAATACAGGATACACGTGCAAGTCCACAACAAAAGTTTCTGGACGTGTTAGCAGCTTCACAATGACACCATGTTTCCCATGGGATGTTAAATGCCATTAACTGCCAAGCTCATTTTCAAGCCCTTGACTCCTAATAAGATCAAAAGGGATGAGCAAGTACTAATCTTGCCACTTGTAATTGAGAGGGAAAATTTCATGTTTGCAATCAGTCTTTAAATTTAAAAGATTTAAACCCAGATTATCTGCTCGGCTTAATAGTGACACTACAAAAATAAGCAAATCAAACAGGAACTTCAATCACTGAACATAGCTACCAGATGGCATATTAACGCCTCATACTTAAAGGGTGTTTAGTTCACCTTATTTTGGAAAACTTCTAGCTTGCTTAGAAGCTCTTTAATGGCATATAAACTAAATATATTTTTCAAATAAGTTTTGAATTATTTTGATACCACGCACTTATAAACCGTACTAAATGTTTTGCAAAAGAATAGAAACGATTAGATAGGAACAAAATTATCTTTTACTAGTTCATGGGTAAGAGTACTTTTTTAGAGAGCTCGCGAGCTCTTTAAAATAAAAAACACAACCCAAGAGCTCACTATAAGCATTATATTATTATCGAAGCTTCTTCGCTATCCAACAAGCTCTTCTCATTAAACAAAAATTTAGACGGCGCAATCCTCCAAAAGGTCATGCAATCAAAGTGGTTTTTTCATTTAAGCAAATCAAAACGCATATTTCACGAAACCAGTCAAACCAAAATTCACGCAACAAAGGGGAAAAAAACCTCTTCCTATGTAGGTAACACAATGCAAAGCAATTGCAGACCTGAACAATCTCTTCTGACATTGATACACAGCGAGGCAAATTATGGTCCCTAGGCAAAATCCTTATCTGGGTCTTGGTCCCAATTCTCATTTGCTCGATAATTTTTCCTCCTTTCCCAACAAACATCCAACATGCATCCTTGACACCACCAACCTCGTGCCACCCTACCCCCTCCTGTCTAACCCCACCATAGTCTCTCTCTCCCCACCACATATCCAAACTGTGCATCGCTCTCT